CGCAGAAGGAAGCATGCATCTACTCATGGAAAGCATGCATCTACTCATGGATGAGAGGCATCCCACACATTTTTTACTTGGGCTGTCCAACGGTTAATTTTTCAAATCGTGATTAACTGCTGAATTTCAATAGTTAATCACCATTAATCACGTTTTTAACTGCACGTTTATAATTCCATTATTTTACATTGAGCAGTTCCTACCAGAGTGTTTTCATTGTGAATCAAATTAATGCAAAGAAACGTACTTCATGAACTTGACTTTTAGGTTGATTTCTGTCAAATCAGAGCTACACTGCTACAACTGTGTGGCCTAGAAACCATGACTTAGAGGTAGGAAACAACTTCAAAGTGCTTTTTATGTTCCATGATGTTGGCTGATCTGCAGTTAGTTGCCCCCCAGTTTGGAAGCACTGTAGTTAACTTCTTTGATTTAGTTTCATCCATGGGTCTGTGGTGATTCACACACTCCGAAATAGTGCTTTGCCTGCTTTGGCGATATGGTTGCCTGTTGACATCAGTCTGATTAGCTTCACCTATATGCTCAGCTCGTAGCTTGAAGTACTTCAGTGATATTTTAATTCCATTACTTTTAACTCATCAACTGAGCCATCTGGGAGTTTTGTAAAGTGAAAGGAGCCATTTAAAAGTGCAGTGGTGCCATTTTGACAAAATAGCAGCACGTGATTAACACAGTTAAAGAAAATATCACGTTATGTTTTGACCTAAATCGCATCGTGATTAATGTCTTAATACTGACAGCCCTTATTTTTACCAATGAATATTCCATAACTTTTCTATAAAATTCTACCCCATTTCCATGACTCTATTAAAATAGTTTAAACAGGTGGGCAGATCACTGGATGAGGTAATGGACTGATTGTACCTACACTGATGCTTGCTGTGCTGGTAAAAGCTGTAACATTATCTAGCCTGGTTACTAATATGTGCAGACACTAGCAGTCTTTTCAGGGGCCTTTTGACCATCTTGATACCTTCTCCTTCTACCATGGCTGACCAGAGCTGCTTCCCCATGTGGCTGATGCCAATCTTTTTGGTGCAGAGATGACATCCAACGTTGCTAGAGTCTGCCTCTCTCTTGACCCATGAATTATGTTCGTCGTTATCAATACACTTTCCAGGCATTTGTGGATAAGCAAACTCCTAGCGTTCGCAAACTGTATATGCTCATTAGACATTCCGGCCACCAAATAGCTGTACATGTATTGTGTATCACATGATGCTAGTGACATTCAAAAGTCAGGCAGCGCAGTGCTCGATTTTAAATCAGTGATATGGAAGATGTATTTCGTAGAATGTTAGACAAGTTTTCAACCCTAGCCAAAAATAATGCATATTCAAAATTTTCCCTAAACACTGTTGATTCCAAACCATTTCAAACAGTTTTTCTAATTTCATAACTTTCTAGGAATTTCATGACAATGGGAACCCTGTGTACACATTAATAGGTGGACCGGGGGAACTTTTTCATAGTTGTAAGAACCCACGTTTTGTTGTGTCCACAATGTAAGAACTACAAATGATTGTAGATCTTAGAATGATGATTTGAGGGACTGTTTTAGCTCCTATTGCAGAATAGGTAATCTTTCAGCACAAGAGGAACCATGAATGACCTAAGTATATATTGATTGGTCGAACACAAGCCAATGCAGTACTGGCAACAAAGTTTTTTCTTAAAAAGGGAAGAAAGCACGGACAAATGGACTGACAGTGAAGTCCAGGCTTTACTGAGTATATATGGGACAGGGAAAATACAATGTAATTTTAACTTGTCAAAAAGAAAGTGACAGTGCTATACCAATCACCACCCAGCTTACAGTACTTCACTTTAGCATTTCTATTAGCGGTGTGAATGCAAACAGTAAAAAAGCCCTTGAAGATATGTAGTTTTCACACGAGCTCCTAAGTGGGTGGTTATTCTCAGGAAGTCCCCAAAGCTGTTTAGTTTGAAAATGCCCAATGGAGTTGTCCTTGGCAGAGCTGTAACGTTAGCTTGCTCAGTGGTGCTAAGTGAGCTAGCAGTAGACGCACACTTTCTTTTGTTCAATTGAGCAGTTAATTGCAATTTGAAATAAATCGTTTGACAGCCCTAGTAACAAATGTGTGGGGAACCTCTTGTCCATGAGTAGATACATACTTCCTTCTGCGCGCTGATGGTTGGCGAGTGTAGTTTAGTAGAAAGAAAATAGTTCCCACATGAATCTGCTCACAATAAGGTCTGTGAATTATGCTGAGTAAATGAGTCATGATTCACAGAGAGAGACATTGCTGTTGAGTTTTTCAAATGTATTCTTTTGATGCTTTGAGCGGCACAAGCCAAGTGCCATCTAGTTCCATTATATTGAAGAGAAGGTAGACATCTGATGTCTCCAACACTTGGCAACTCACATCAAAAACAATCTAGTTTGATAATTAGCACTACAGGTAAGAGGAAATTAAGGGCCTGTGTCCACATACCTCCTTTTCTGGCAGAAAGGCGCTGGAAGGGCGCTGCGGGGCGCTGGGGTGAAGCGTCTGTGCGCCCAAAAACAAAAAAAAAAAAAAACGCTCACAACGCTCTCTCCCAGTGCCCTTCTGAAAAGTTCAGAGATTTTCAACTCAAAACGCTCGGAGTGGCCGCACAAAAAAGGAGGAGCGGCCGCATGCAGCCGCAGACACTCTCTCCTCATTGGGAACAATTGAAAAAAGACGCTGGCCTTCTTCTGGCACTCAGAAAAAGGCGCTATGTGGACACAGGGTCTAAGTGAACAGGGTGTCTCCAAGAACCCACTAGGTCTTTTCAAAGACTTCACATCATGTGGGATGGACAGTGGAGATGGGAAAGATTCCCATGTGACAAGAAAGGTCCTGAAATAGGATCAAATCATATTAGAGTCTTCTCTATATGACCAAAGTCCACCTGATGTGGATGTCTCTGACAGACTGTGCTTTCATGTTACAGACTCACAACATGAGTTCATAAAGAAAAAAAACTGCATGTATAAAGGCGGATGCAGGAGTGACTCCAGAGAGCTACAAAAGCTTCACAAAGCTTCTTGCAGAGTTATTGTTTTCGATTTCATCATATTCTCAGGTATTCATTCTTGTTATTTGTCCATCACCTTTAGGTGTTTTTACACACATGGGTTTTTCCTCACTATATTTATTTATCCAAGCAGAATTCACTGACACTGAAACGCATGAGCAGGTAAGAAAGGAAGGAGCATTAACTGTAAAATATTTCAACACCTTTTCCTCTGGAAGCAGAAATAATTGATCATTTCTGACTTCTCAGTATTCACAGGACACATGTCACCCTCGCTCCGTCTTCTATGCAAACACATAAAGGACTTGCTGGCCTGTTTGCAGGTTGTTCACCTGAATTTCCAACCACAGCAGGCCTCTGTCTGACTCACTCAGAGAAAGTGTACGAGCATGAAGTTGATGTTTCAAATTCCAGTCAGGCAGGCAGAGTCACCGATCCTCCCTCAGAGGCTGAAAAACTAATATTTTCCAAGCAGCAGCAGCTCCTGTCACCCTCTCCCCAACTGAACCATATCCCCCATCCACTCCACAAAAAAAAAAAAAAACAGCAGAAGAAGAAACATGCCCTCTGTCTGTGTCCTCAGCTCTGCTTTTATCTGCTCTCCCAGTACCTCTCCCCCTGCGTGATCTCTCTGGTCGCAGGAATATTTGCTGTTCCTTCGTCCTGAACTCACAGTTTGACTGTGTGACCCAAGCAGTCAGGAGACCGTTGTTGCCTCCAGCAGCCGAGCTCCTGCTGAGGAGGCGGCTGCTGTTGTGACTGCAGCATTTTCTCTCTCAATTCATCAAATCAGCGGTCAGACGCCGCAATATATGAGAGAGAGAGAGAGAGAGAGAGAGAGAGAGACAGAAAATGTCAACAGGTGCAGGCGCTCTGCAGGCAGATCTGAGAAATTAATGGAGCTTTTATCAGCATCTTAAAAACTCCTTTGTGGAAGAAAACAAACAGCCTGCTGGGCTTCTTAAAATGAACCCCAACTGCTTTACAGCTGCATACTCTGATTTCATATTTATCTGCTGTAGATCAGCATGTACACCAAGTAAACTCTGAACCCAAGGGCCAGAATAAATTCTAGCACTGTATGTTTCTGCAAACCACAGATGTGTTACATTTGTACATTATTATGTAGAGGATACATTGAAACTTTCTGTTTCCACAACACTGTGGTTAATGTATGGTCAGGGTAAGGAAAAGATTATGTTTTGGTTTACAATACCCGGTTTTGGCAGTACTATCTCTGCTCGAAACAAAGACCTGGTGATGACTAAAAAACAACCAGTGTTCGAGGCACCATTCATGAAGGACACACAGCGATGTCTTGGTAAAAGAATTACCACTTTTTATGTCACTCTTCCTGTTGGAAACACAGTGACGGGTCGCTAAAAAACACAGAATTTGGTGGCTAAAAAGCCGCTGGAAGACACAGCGATGACTGTTTAAAATACAACCAGTTTTCATGGCAAAATTCTGTCAGTAAACATCGCATTTCAAAAAACAACAGATTTTCATGGCACTATTCTTGTTGAAAACACAACAACAGGCCACTAAGAAACAGAGTTTGGTGGCTAAAAAGTCATTGGAAGACACAGTGATGACTTCCTTCAAAAAATCACTTTACATGGCACAAAATGCTGGCCAGAAACATAGCAATGTCTAAAAACAATAACAGCTTTTCGTGGCATCATCCCTGTTGGAAACACAACAATGGGTGGCTAAAAATCTAATGGATGACGCAGCAATGACTCATTAAAAAACAGCCAGTTTTCGTGGTTCACTTTCGATCCCAACTGCATTTCTGACAGATTACACTTCTTTCCTTTTCATTCCTCAGATGGACGGAGCTCCAAAGAGTACATTATTCAGCTGTTGGCATAGCTGTGACTGGTAGGCTGACGTGTGAAATCAGTTAAAAGGTAATAGAATAAATCAAATGAACAGTGCAGAGGTGACTTTACCAGATGAACCCTGTAGAGGATGCTGATCCCCAGAGTCATGAAGGGTTTGGAGAAATCGATCACCTTCTCTCTCTCTGAGGTGATAGTGAAGCCGGCCACTGCCAGGTCTGCTTTCTGCAGAGAGAGGGAGAGAGAAAGAGAGGAGTTCATTTTAGCCACAAATGTCACTTTAACATGACCTGGAATGAAAGAGGAAACAGTTGCATACTGAAACAGATATTCTATTTGATTTTAAATTTAGGGATCTGAGTTGAATGAATGAACAGAGCTGAATTTTCATAGAGACAGTTTTACATCATCAGGTTTGTCCCCAGAACAAATCATAAACACATCATTATCAAAATTAAAAGAAGCGCCTACACAAGTTAGCTCCCAAACATTACTTCTCTCCATCTATAAATGACTGTATTCAATTAAGTTAAGAAACAGCAAGTCCTCCAAACCATACAACCACACACATCATTTGTTCTTGGTTAAAACCTTGGTATTTGACCCGGATGGTTGTGGTTTTGCAGTAGTGCACATTTAGGCAAGCTCAGTCCATGCTATGAGTCACCCCGGTCTTACTCGGAAGTCACTGAACAGTGGCACTTGGTCAGTGACCTCCGGTGTCAGACACCAACGAAAAAAGCCATACTTTTACATTAGCATGATGCGCGGCCGGTCGCCATTATTGTGTAACAGCGCCCGGCAGTGTCTGGGAAAAATGCAGCAGGACAACAACATAAGTTAAGCGGGCAAAGGTCCGTGTTGGGCGGGCGGGAGATTTGGTGGATGGGTCTAACAACCACTGACTTTCACTTGGGAGGTCGGCTTTCACTTCCTTTAATATTGTAAAGCCAAATCCGACTCTTTTTTCCTAAAGCCAACCATGTGCCTGTGTTGGCTAAATGTAACCATGTGTGTTGGTTATTGAAAGAAAAAAACATCAAGTGGCAGTGTTGTACCAATGTAGTGTGTTTATTTTGAAATATTATTTGGAAAGCATCTTCTGGGCATCTATTAAAGGGGAACTAATGTTTCTTTCAACCTGGGCCCTATTTTCCGATCTACTTTTGTCTAAATGAGTGATAGGATGTTTAATATTTGACATTTCTCCAGTACAAATCTAGGGCTGACCTGCCTGCAGCCCATGAGCGCTCGCTATATTAAATAATAGGACACTTAGACAGCGAATGAATTGAATTTGACGACCGCCTGTATTTATTTGAACATGGAGTACACGGATGTACACGGATGCAGAGCTCATTGAAATTTAAGAGCGGACGAGGAGAGGGAGCAGCAACAGGCAGAGGAACATGTCTGAATCCAGCTAAAGGTAAAGACAGACTTTCATTTCTCCTTTCCGTTATGTTGTCGGATAATTATACTAACAATCCGAGCCTGTCTGTGTGAAAAAAATGCACTTTTAGTGGATGTATTTTGACATTGTTTGACGCTGTCTGAGTGCCCTATTATTTAATATGGCGCACGCTCATGGGCTGCAGGCAGGTCAGCCCTAGCTTGGTACTGGAGAAATGTCAAATATTGAACATCCTATCACTCATTTAGACAAAAGTGGATCGGAAAATAGGGCCCAGGTTGAAAAAAACATTAGTCCCCCTTTAATGCAAAATAACACTTTGATTTTAGAGTATAGACCCCCTGTCTCAGTAAAAAAAAAAAAGAAGAATTTCTGTTTAAAGTTACAGGTGTGAGGTCTCCTGTTGCTTTAAACTTGGAGCCATGGCAAATATTAGGTTACTAAACAACTTTTTAGGTCATGGTTTTGCTAGCTCATCCAAAAAGTGCTGAGATGACCAAATGAGTGCCAACAAGAATGCACATCAGGCACACAACCCTCGTAAGGATGTAATGCACACCCCTAGGTGGAATACAGGGTTTCAGAGGAGTCCCATTTGTAACTACCCTCTAATACTACCCACAGGAGCCTTTGTTAAATTAAAGCCCCAACCACACTGAACAAAAATATAAACGCAACACTTTTGTTTTTGCTCCCATTTTTCATGAGCTGAACTCAAAGACTCTAAAACATTTTCTATACACACAAAAGACCATTTCCCTCAAATATTGTTCACAAATCTGTCTAAATCTGTGTTAGTGAGCACTTCTCCTTTGCCGAGATAATCCATCCCACCTCACAGGTGTGGCATATCAAGATGCTGATTAGACAGCATGATTATTGCACAGGTGTGCCTTAGGCTGGCCACAATAAAAGGCCACTCTAAAATGTGCAGTTTTATCACACAGCACAATGCCACAGATGT